GCGATGGATGTGCCTCACTTCCTCCAAGTCCCTCACAGCACCAGCCCCCCCGCTCCTGAGGGTCTTCCCCTTGGCAACAGTTGTAAGGGAGGCTGTTCCTTCTCTCTACCCAACGGTAGCACTGCAAGGACATTGTCTCCCAGGATGTTAGACGAGAAACAAAAGCGATCAATTAAGCAAAGGAGACACAGTGCTAGTCTTCGATAACCAAAACATTTATCCATTCTCAAACCACTTGGAATTGACTTGGAAATTGGAAGCTGGAAATTGGCAGGTGAGACGGAAATGGTTCATAAGCATGGAATTCTACGGCACACGCCCCAGACTCTGAGCGCCCACAAACCCTACAAAGCCCCTAGGGTCAGAGAGGAAAGCCACGCTCTGAAACTATTCACCTGAGATGATGCGCTGACTTCGAAAGTCAGGTACCTGAATAAATGCAGGAGATGTGATTTACCGTCAGTTTATATAAATTAGAGGCCAGGGGGAGGGGGAGGAAGTCACTGAAATTTGTCTGTTGTAATAAGAGGGGTGGGTTTTTTGTTTGTTTGGTTGGTTGGTTAATTCTCACCCGAGGATATTTTTCATCGATTTTTTTTTTGGGGGTGGGAGGGAAGGGGAGAGAAAGAGAAACATCGATGTGCGAGAGACACCTAGATTGGTTGCCTCCTGCACACACCCCCAACCAGGGCTGGGATCGGGCCTGCAACCGAGGTATGCGCCCTTGATCAGAATCAAATGGGTGCCGCAACCCTTGAGTCCAAGGGCCAGCGCTCTAACCAATGCACCAAACCAGGCAGGGCAAGAGGTTTCATAAAGGGCATCTCAGGATCATAGAGGAAAAACAGTTTATACAGGGTGTCCCATCCCCCCGCCCCCCCAAAAAAGTACAGGTATACACACGTTTAACAGCTGAAAGCTCAACTTGGAAAATGAAATGTATTTTAACAAACACTGCCTCAATGATTATTCCAAGTGTGTGTATACCTTTCGGGGGGACACCCTATACTTCCCAGGGAACACTGAGTCGTGTGCCAAGAAAATCAGTGTTAGCATTAAACTGATGAAGTAAAAACGATCTGAAAATGGAGAGGGCCAAATGTTAAGTGTATGTTCTGCCACTACGGAATAAGCCCAGTACTCATGAATGGCATGTGTCCATGAATGGAGCCCAGAACTTGAACCTTGGGTTATTAAGACTAACTTTAACTTTAGAACGTCCCCCCCGCCCCCCCCCAAAAAAATGCTACCAAATTTTGAGACAGCAGGAAAGCTTCAAAGTTAAAGTTTATCAACATTTGATGCTATTTTTCTCCGCAAGGGCTGCCTCACCCACTCTCTAGTTTCTTTTCCTTAAAAAAGGGGTAAGGAGAAAAGTTTGGATTGCAAATCTAGGAGGCTAGCAATTAACTCTAATTTCTCTCACCCTTCCCTTCTTCAAATATTACAACCATCTAAACAAAACTCACCACAAGTCCCAAATTACCCACTCAACAAAAACAACCACGAAAAGACCCAAAAGTTAAGGAAGGGGTAGGAATTGTTTAAAAGCATACTCCGAAGTGAAATCAAAGAAACTAATGGCGGTCACGGGACTATATCATGAAACAATTTCAGAAGTCCAAAGTTCAACTTCCTTTACTACAGGAAAACACAAAGTTCAAGTGAAAACTTTTTTCTTTGCAGAAAAATAAACAACAGGGTTGTAATTATGAAACAGGTGACCAGTTGGTTCAAGAATAGGTGGAACTAAGGGTTCTCCTAGAAGCAGGAAAGTACCAGTGCTAGGTAGTTACAATAATAATAATACTAAATAACAATGCAGTAAGAAATTCCCCAACTCTCGCAGGAAAAGCCTCAAATTAGGAACCAGATTTTAAAGAGTTACTTTCAAAGCTCCATTAAAGATTGTAACAAAGGAAAGTAAAAAATCAAAACCCCAAATCAAGGCTAGACAGTCACTGCTGGAAAGAACCTTCACTAAGTCATCTGGGTGATGGTGTGGCTTTGGCTGGGCTCCTCTTAACATCTTCTAGATGAAAAGGAGCAAGCTGGAAGAATCAGCGCTCAGCAGCCTACTCAACGGCCCAGCTCAGGCCC